GGGAAGGAGTAGGCATGACCCAGTCGAAGGTTGGTGTGGAGTAACTCTTCCTCTGCTGCTGACCCTGCTGAGAACTTGTGGAAAAGCGGCACACCTTCGTTACTGCTTGTTGGTTCGTTTTAAGTCAGATTTAGAACAAATTCCTAGTTGCAATAACAGGATTGTTTTGATCACATCAGAAACAGCAGTGGAGAATTTTCTGCTGGTGGTGGTTTGTAGCGACTGGCAAAGTTAGACTCCTCCTTTGATACTCAAAGCTTGTTAAGTCTCTTGATCTCATTTAACTGGCTGTAATGATGAGGCAGGTGAAGCCTAGTGAAAATAAACATTTAAAGGAACACATGAAGGATAACAGTGTTATCGTTGCAGCTAAAAGAGAAATAGTTCTGAGTGTTGACACACAGAATAATCCAAGGGCTGTAATTCCTACAAGCTTTTTGTTTCTCCAAGTTTTGAGCACTTGGGTTGCTGGGCAAGTCTTCTGCCAGGAGGCACCTGGGCAGCTATTTCCAAATTAACTTTGAATCAAAAGCACCAAGAGGAAGGCAGGAGCACCTGGGCTGCCAGAGTCAGTTCCAGTTTTGGGGCACATTGCTGCTCTCCTTGTGGGTTTGGGATTCCAGAGCTGTGTGATGCTGAGCAGATCAGGGGAGGCTTGGTTGTGTGCTGCTGACTTACCTGCTGCTCCTTCGCCTCCTAATGCTTCAGTACAGAATGCCTGTCCCTTGGCTATCTATTTTCAAAATTGGAAAATTCATATTCATATGTTAAGGAGTGAAATGAATATATATGAAGTGGTGGAGTTGTCAGACCATAAAAGTAGGTGTGCTGTTGGCTGTGTACATGGGTAAGTAGGGAGTGAGGACAGATGTCAAGTGACTCAGAAAGCTGGATTTTACTGATCCCTGGCATAACCATTGCTGTTTCCTCTGCGTGCCTTTCAGGAAAGGGAAATAAATCACTCCAGCATCAGAAATACCCTAAAAATGTTGCACTTGGAAGGACTTATTACAACATTCAAAATTTGAGAGGCACAGAAAGGGTGTATTTGGCTAAAGAAAAGAGAAGTTTAAAGGTCCGGGTTGTCCAGGGAACTCCAAAGCAAATTACTTTATGCCTGTAATGCAGGGCCTGGGGCCACTTTGGTATAGAAAAAAAAAGTGTCACCTAGAAAGTGGGCTGTAAGTTCCAGTTGTGTGTTAGAAGTGCATAATACTGCTCTTGTTTAACCTGAGTCTTTTCATATTCCAAGAAGTCTGGTTAATTTTGTTTCCTTGCTGATGAAGAGTGAAACTATAGAGATGAATGTTAAGCATTAATTCCTGAAAAGATTAGAAACTTCTTTTAACCAACATGATCACTCCCTATCCATTCCTTAAATATTATTATATTCAGCTTCATTAAAGGCAGTCAATCCCCATTGGCTGTTGGCACCATCCCTAAAGCATCTGAGCTATTAAATTTTTTGAACATATAGAATTTACCCATCTGTATAAAAGTCACAGAGTCTGGATACTGTGCTTTTTCCCAGATAATGTATTTAAACTTTTTCATATTTTGGGGCAGGTAGAAAAACACTTCACAGCGCTTGTTTTTGCACTGAATGTGCCTGCAGAGTTCTTACGATTCATGAACCTGGCAAGGCTTCTAGTAAAAATTTGTCATGTTTTTTAATAAGAAGAGTCAAAGAAATTACACCTAAGTGATAACAATTGTTTGGACTGCAGTGGGTTGTTGCAGAGGAGGGACTAGTATACTGGCGTTACATACTGTGTAGAAATATTATCCTGCATGTGTATAATTCAGACAGTGTTGAGTACTGTTAGAATTATACACATGCAGGATAATATTTCTGGTTTTGTTCCTCCCTGAGTAAAGCCTTATAAGATTGTCTTTTAAAAAATACACCTTCATTATATTCTCCTTTCTCATAAAGCAAAAATCTGCAGCAATAATAATGTTGTATTCATAAAGGCACGATGGCCGCTGAGAGCCAAGAGTTTTAAGATTGAAGGGATGGAGAGGAAGGAAAAGAAATCAACAGCTGGGGGTTTGTGGCACCAGTAACTATTACTCTCCTCCAAACTAACCAATGGGTAGTAGAGAATTTTTTTCCATTTATTTTTAAATGTATTTATTGTAGGTGTGTTTTTCTCTACAGAATTTGGAGGATGGCACCGCCCCTTGTTCTTTCACCTCACTGTTGTATGCAGGACTTCAGGCATCGTTACTTTTGGCATCTTTTTGGAATTAAACATTCCTGGGTAGAGGACATGACGTGTAGTAAAAATAAGATATAAAGCTTTCAATCTGTGATTACACAAAGCTGTTTCAAAATATAGAAATCTATCTAATGTTGTTCTGGCATGTAAGAAACTTGTCCTGGTGGTGTAGTGGGTAGAAGTTGTCATCTACGTCTGTGCTTTTTTAGAGTCTTGGTTAGAAAAACTCCCAATCTAGTTGTCAAAGATGCTAAAGGCATCCAACTTCCACTGGCTTGTGTAAGATTTATGAGTGCTTAAAACCACTGAAAATCTGACTGTTGGTTTTGGGTTTGATGCAATTGCGGAATTATCTAATCAGTTGCTGAGCTTCTACGTAGAGGATGGAGTCTGTTGATGTGAGAAGGCTTTCCATCGATTTCAGCATGGCTAGCTCTTAAGAGTAAGAAGGTTCATTTCACATATTCTGGGTGATGACTATGGAGAACGATCTATTTCAGCTATAGTTGATCTTTTTTATCAAAGGACTAGTCAAATGCCAGAAATCTGACAGCAGACCAGAAGCTGCATTTTTCCAGTACCTGTACGATGGGTATTCATACAGAAACACATTTCGTGTGCAGACAAGTATCTGCAATAAACCAATTAGTGTATGTTCATTAGCTGTTTTTGCAAAATGCTATTTGTGTGTTTGTACAACAATATGATCTTAAGCTCTGCTCTTCTTTTCTTTCCCTTTCTTATTTTAGTAGCTTAAGGAAAAAAATATTCTTCCAGAATAAAATATTTATAAACTGTGTCAAACAAAAGTTAGAATGCTAGACCTAAGGCGAATTCCACACGAGTTACAGTGCAACTGCTCTTCGTGCTTTTTAATGTCTTTGTTTACGAGTTTGGAGAGTCGTGTCCCCACAGATTTGCTGAACAGAGAATACTCTTGTGTCTGACTTGACAGGCTTAGCAACCTCTGTGTTGGACTCCCCAGAGAGACTCCTCGGTTGCTCCTGGGAAAACCCTGTGCAGATTTATACATCTAACTGAAATTCTAACCAGCAGATAGTGCAAGGCTTCTTCCCTCTTTATCAGCCCATTTTTACAAATGTAGTAATCGAATTGGACTTGGGTAGAGTACAGCTGCTGCAGTAGCATCTCGCCAGCAGAGGCATTGCTGGCTGCGGCTAGGAGCATCTGCCCTTCCTCGCTGCGGAGGAGGGTGTCTCGCTCCCAGGGGAAAAGCCCTGCGCCTCGGTAAGCAAGAGGAAGGTGTCCTGGGCGTCTGGATGTTATTCTGTGGGCTGCTGGCGATTTGCTAAGAGTGGCTAAAGGATTAAGAGGATAAAATCCCGTCAGCTCCTGACCTGGCGAGGTATGTTGCATGTCCAACGGTATGCCAGCGGCAGTGGCTGCGTTGCTAGAGTTGTTGGAGTTATTGCAGCGTCAGGTGTGTGAAAATCTTCATGGTGTGTTTAAGCAATTGTCGGTGCTGCTCATGTAGATGTACCTGGGCTGGCAAACTGGTGTTGGTAGCACAGAGCTCACTCTGTACCAGCATCTTGAGAGGCGAAGGGGACTTGCCTTTCTAGTTTAGAGCTAGCTCGCATATATCTGTAGTCAGAAATACTTTAAGAAATGAAGCTAAACCAAGAGAAAAATCCTACTGTTCTGTTTTGACACTTGGAAATTGTTTACCTATTCCTGTCACGAAATGCCACAAAATATTTTAAAACATTATTGAGATATTGATGTAGGGCAGCTCATTGAGAAGCTATCCAAGAAGGGAAGACTGGACTAACTTCTTAATTTCAGTATTAATATATTAAAATGTTTTAGTCGTACACTAAACCAAAGTGCTGGGTAGTTGTACAGTTTTTAAAACTTTATTTTCTTGGTTACCACCACATCCTGAAGTTCCATTACATGGTGACTGTTGCTGTCTGCATCGGTACAGACTTGGGCAAAAATGCCGAATAACACAACCTGCGTTATTGCGAGGAACTGTTCCTGGTGATCAACAACATCTGTCTGTTCTTGTCCAGCATGTGTCATCTCTGTTCAATTTAGATTCATTTTTCTTTTGTCTAAACTAGAAAGTAAGAAATGTGCAATCTTAGCAATTTATGAAATAGCATATATACACCTGGCACTTCTTTCTATCTAAGAACAGTAACGCTTTTTGAATGTCTCTGGGTCACAGTTGCAGACAGAGTACAGTGTTGGAGCCAAAACACCGTTGAAAAAAACTTTTCATTCATGCTGCAACTTTGATTTCTCATGATAAATCTTGGGATGCTCATTGTTCATGGATCATTGACAGAATCTAGAATGAATTCAATGTGATTTTTGCAGTTAACTTATGAAAGGATTGAGATTTCCATCGTGTTGTTTTAGCCCACACGAAGTAGTTCAGGATGGTATAAACCCCGTGCGTGTTTTGGACAGGAAGGAATCATTAATGATAGCAATCACAAATATTAAATTACTTCCATCCAGGCATCCTTAATGAAAGTTAAGTATTCTTCCTTTATCACAGTTATGTTGAAATTCAATTCTTATTGATGACAGAGAGTGCAAGATGTAACGGAGAGCGATGAGAGGCAAAAAATATCTCCGATCTAATAGAGAACAAAGTTTCCTTTGCTTCGTATTCCAAGTAATATCCTTAACTTAAAAGTGGGGAAATTGCAATACATAGTTAAAAACATGCAGAAGATAGGAGCTACAATATCTGAAAGCTGTATTGTTTTACCAAGCAGGATATTGTGTTTTGCTGTGTTAAAGGTATATGACGGATGGTGGTCTGGGCCTCTACACTCGAAGGCTGAACCGGCTGCCCGATGGCATGGCTGCGGTGCGGGAGACGATGCAGCGTAACGCTTCCCTGGGGCTCGGAGATGCTGACAGGTAAGGTCTCATCCAGCAAATGCTCACATATAATGGCACATTTGATTCACTGTTTATCTAATGTGTATTGGAACACTAAGATTAAATAGCTTTGGGAATTCAGATACGGAATACATGGATATAAACTATTCCAGAGTGTTTTAGGTTATATGTTCCCAGAGATGTCAGTATAAATGCTGACTTCATGTCTTCTGTTTGCTTTGCTGAAATCTCATCTGGGTTTTTGTGGACAGGATGCAACACAAGAAAACTTGTATTTTAATAGTGTTTGAAATAAAAAAGACCAAATGTTTCTTCTGTTTCCACTGATTCTTCCAAGTCCAGTGATTCAGTGTGAATGGTCAAGGCCCAAGTTCAAGAATTAAGGGACTAAAAATCAATAATTTATGGGAGTGCAATCACAAAGGAAGCTGGAGAGATGGAGTAATGAGACCTATATTCTGTTAGAGCTGAGATAAATGGGTTAAATACTTTTGCTTTTAATGGCATCAGCATATAGCTGCTTCTTTCCCTTCCAAACCCAAAGCCTGATGAGTGTTACTGTTGATGTAGTAAGTGAACCGTATCCTTTTTCTTCTGTGAGGGGCCCCTAAGTATGAAACATGGATTTTGAGTTACAGGTTTGAACCCATTTCTGAACTGAAAGGTTTTTCTCTTTTTAGTTTGTTATCAATAAGTCTTTCCTGGGAGACATGATGCAGTTGACTGAGTTTGATAGTGATGCATGGATTACTGAGGAAATAGAAGTGATGGAGAATCTAGCCTTGTTTTCTGAGAAAGCCATATTGCATTTGCTTTGGTGTTCTCTTGATATTAGTAGAGAGCAGGATCGTAAATCTAAACAAAAGAACTAAAACCTCTCAGAGAATCTCAGCTCAGTTTCAATTACTAAGTCAACAGATGCTTGCCAGTTGTAAAATATGCCTGGATCTTTCAGGAGCTCATATTTCTTTCTGAGATTTGCAACTTGAAACCTGTACTCGGCCAACAACGCTCGCTCCTGGTTGACCCTGGGTGAAGGCATTGCCACCTGGTGATGCAACTGAAGACTAATCAAGCATCATCCTCGTCTGTTGCTGTCGCTTCTGAATATTGCTACTTTAACAGAAGCCATCTGTTGACAGTACAGAATTGGTCTAATATAAATTATATTATTGTTTAAGTAACAGTCAGCCTTCTGGAGAGCTAGTGATACATTCCTTGTCATTGATTCCTTCCCCCATCCAGTATTTTCTGTGCTTGCAACACTTTCTTTGAGTGTAAATTATTCTCGCGTTTTCTTTGCTAAGCTGCTTCCCTGAAGACATCACGTCAGGACCAATTATGTGCATTCAACAAGAGAGATTATTTGTGTGTGTAAATATATTCCACTTAGAGTGGGATTGTGACACCCTGAAATGCAATCCCTAGTTTATGTCAAGTGTTGCAGCTTTGAAAAATCATTCTTTCAGTTCACATGGAGGGGATGGACTTTGCACACAATGCAGACTCAGTATGGCTGGCAATTTAGCTGCAATACAGGATCACAGAAAAATTACCTTTGGTCCCAGAGTTGGTGACATTATTATGTATTGTTTTGATTTAGTCTTTTCTATTTAGGATGTAAGCCTACTCACCTTATGCAGGAGATCAGAGTTTTCTGCCAATAGGGCAGTGATTTAAAAATAGCTCCTCTTTGGTTGCTGGGTGATCATGACGTGCATTTGAAATAAAAAATTAATCTTGGTTTCAGCAGCAGTTTTCCAGGGTGAAAATGTGCAGAAGGAAAAGGAGTTGAATAAAATGGTTCAATAATGAATTGCTTTCTTCGTTCTGTGAATGGAGGTTGCAAGGAGGAGTGCTGAGTTACTTTATTGGTACATCTAGAAAACATATGGAGATTAAATTTAACTTGTTCAAAGGAGCAGTTAATTGAATGCATGGGAGAACGAGTGTGAAAGGCTATGAACCTTTGAGTATAAGGTTAATCATTAAAAAGTTATCAGAGGAATTTTTGCAATATGCTTACTTGTTTAGTTTCTTGTGTTACTAATTGGAGAAGGTTAGTTGTGAAGCTTTTACTTGTTGGCTCTGGTAACATAAAGCACAGACCTTAGAAGGTACATTTTCCCCTGCAGCAGGGAAATCCAAACAAGGCAATTTAATTTAATGCTTGATTGCAAGGTTAATGGAATCATTGCACAACACAGCTGAGCTTATTTATTCACTTCAAGACAATTTGTGTTTCCATAGAACAAAGGCATTTTTAATGAAAAAATGCATTAAAAATGGCTTTTTATTTAGTTTGTGATTTTTTTTTTTAAAGGTTGCAATTGGCCACCTATGGTTTTGTCTCTTCTATATATAGAATCACAGGATGGTTTGGGTTGGAAGGGACCTTAAAGATCACTGAGTTCCACCCCCTGCCATGGGCAGGGACACCTCCCACTAGCCCAGGTTGCCCAAAGCCTCATCCAGCCTGGCCTTGAACCCCTCCAGGGATGGGGCATCAACAGCTCCTCTGGGCACCCTGGGCCAGAGTTTCACTACCCTCATAGCTAAGAACTTCTTCCTTATACGTAATGTATATTTACCCTCTTTCAGCTTAAAGCCATTACCCCTTGTCCTATCATGACATGCCCTTGTAAAAGTCCCTCTCCAGCATTCTTGTAGGTCCCTTTCAGGTACTAGAAGCTGCTGTAAGGTCTCCCCAGGGCCTTCTCTTCTTCAGGCTGAACAACCCCAACTCTCTCAGCCTGTTGTCATATGAGATGTGCTCCAGCTCTCTGATCATCTTTGTGGCTCTCCTCTGGACCCACTCCAACAGGTCCATGTCCCTCTAGAGTTGGAGGCCCCACTGGTGGCTTGCTTAGGCTGTGCTATGTTGTTCCTCCAACAGATATTGGGGTGGTTGAAGTCCCCCATGAGGACCATGGCTTGTGAACGCGAGGCTGCTCTTATCTGCCTACAGAGGATCTCATCCACTCGCTCTTCCTGATCCAGTGGCCTGTAGCAGGCCCCCACTATAATGTCCCCTGTCCCTGTCCTCCCCTTAATCCTGACCCGTAGGCTCACGATCAGCTCCTCATCCATCCCCTCCATGCACTCCAGCTGGCCACTGACATTGAGGGTGACACCCCCTCCTTGTCTCCCCACCTGTCCTTCCTGAAGAGCCTTATCCCTCCATTCCAACACTCCAGTCATAGGACCCATCCCACTAAGTCTCTGTGATGCCAATAAGAGCATAGCCCTGCAGGCGTGCACGGGGACTTGGTGTGTACCATCTGGTTATTCAAGTTGATTTCATACTGTCGGGTGCAGCTGCATGATCTGAGACTAAATTCTGCCCTTACTTTCGTACATGTAACTTCAATTTATGAATACATGTAGATAAGAGGGAATAAATTTGAAATTTAGATTTGAGTAAATCTTTCTGTAATTGCTTACTTGTGTAACTTATTATTTAGAGATGATAATTCAGACCTGTGCTGATTTATCGTATCCTTGTGACTAGGACAGGAGGCTATAGTAATGAATGCGAGCTTGTCAAGGGTAACTTTAATGCTGTTATTAGGGAAATGTCTGTATGACTTTTTGAAAACTCCTTAGTGATGAAGTGCTTAAATAACTACTTCCAAGCATGATTAACTTGGATTGTTTCACTTTTGTGATTTAATTTGAGGTTGCGTGAACTACATGTCTTTGCATAAGAGCGTAAGGCATAAACAGGTCATCCCAGCTTCTGATTATAGGGACCTGTCTCATCAGATAGTAGATTACGTTGTCTTGGTACTTCCAACAGCTGTGGTGTTTGTGGACTGTAGGTAAAACACAGCCCAGGTGTTGAGCATGCTCTTCAAGAGTGTTTCTGTATCATGGTTCAGATCTATGATGGCAACAATCAGTCTTGTCACGCTCTTGGTTAACAACACGACCACATTCAGTTTAACTCCTGGAAGGACTTGTGCCTGAAGCTGGCTCCTGGCAGTCGGTACTATTTTGGTAGCATTTCCTGCTTTTGGCAAGATTTTTGTATAATCCCAGAGGAGACTGTGGAACCAGGAGAGGAGATGGACAGGAACAAAAAATTGTAATTGAGGCAGAAACCAAGTAGAAAGCCAGAGGACATTCCACGCAGAGCACGGATATATCACAATTAATAAGAATGTCATTGAGTACAGATTTTTCCAGATGCTATGATTTATAGTAGTTTCTACAAATGGTAAAAACTGCGGCTTTCAATAGCTGAAGAGTAGTATTATGCTGTTATTTTGCATTTCTTAAAAACAGATTAAAGTTATTTATATGTCTCTTGGCTCAGATGGTAGACAACACTTCACATTCATTCGTGGAGTAAACCCCTTTGACTGGAGCGTGTTTAAATTCACAAACTGAAATTTAATTTCTTGACTCCTGTTACAGTGATGAGATTTCTAAAAAGATGGGTTAGTGTTCAGTGCTGGAGGGAGATTGTTGGACTGCCTTCATGACCATGGGAACCTGGATCGCACTTCAGAGGAGCTGAAAAGCAAGTTGAAGCAAGTTATCAAGTTAGGGGCAATATTGGCCTGTTTTGAGAAGTGAGGAGAGAAGGAGATGTCACGGATTTTGGAAGGAGGCAAATTCCACTGAAAACAGAATTGCAGACAGGGCACTGATGGGTATCGCAGAAGAAGGTATTTTCTTATTTTTTAGATGCTACTTTATTGTAGACAATGGAAAAATATTATAAGGAGAAATAAAGGAAGTTTTTGTTAAGTAGTTTTGTAGTAGGATAAGGCAGCTTTAAGTCCTGAGCCTGTTTTTTCAGTTTTTCTTTCTAACTGAGACAATGCAGCTAAAATTAAATGAAGGTGTCTGCAAGTCCGTGCTTTGCAGATGAGGGGTTAAGTCCTCCATTCACAGAGAATATCCATTAGCAGTACTCCCCCATTACTGCCCCTCTCATTATTCCTGTAGTTTTTCTACTCCAGCAGTGGTAGCATGATGCATAAGAAAAGGGGAAAACCAGAAAATGTGTC